GCGGCGGCGGCGGCGGCGGCGGCGTGGTGGGCTGGCGCGGCGGCGCGGCCGATGCCGGCCCAGCCCCCTGCCGCTTCTGCTGCTGCTGCTGCTGCTGCTGCTGCTGCTGCTGCTGCTGCACCACCCGCAGCAGCAGCTGGAACTGCTTGGCCGACACGCCCTGCATCGCCTCCACCAGCGCCTCTGCAGCAGCGGCAGGGGGCAGGCGAACCATGAGCAGGCGTGGAGAGGGCATTCAGCAGGCAGCGGGCAGCGGGCCAGCCGGCCAGCTCTGCGCACGAGGGCGCAGCATGGCGGGGTGTGGCCGCCCCACCTGTGCCCCTGATCTCCTGCTCAAACCGCTCCATGCGCTGCGCCAGCCCCACCACCACCTCGCTCTGCTGCCCCGCCGCCGCCTGCAGCTGCTGGATGGGCAGCCGGAGGTCGCGGCCCGCCAGCCGGCTGCGCACGCCCAGCTTGTCCAGCTGGCGCGCCGCCGCCTCCAGCGCCGCCGCCTGGCGGCTCACCACGCCCTCCAGCCGCACCAGGCGCGCCGCCGCGGGCTCGGCCAGGCGGCCAGACGGGCCGGAGCTGCGGCAGCAGCGGGGCAGGGCCAGGGCGAGGGCTTGTGAGGAGGTGCGGACGCCGCGGCAGGCCTCAGCGTTCTTTCCTGGGAAGCTAGGCATCTCCCCACACGATTGCGAAATGCGCAGAAGAGTGCAGCGCAGCACAGGGCAACACAACACACCTGCCGGGCGCCGCCAGCCAGGCGCGCAGGCGGCCCAGCGCCAAAGCCGCCACCAGCGGCACCGACAGCCACAGGCCGCCGCCAGGCTGCGGCGGCGCCTGCAGCGGGCCAGCCGGAGCGGGCACGGCCTGCGACACCTGCCGGCCGCCCCGCGCCTGCTGCTGCTGCTGCTGCTGCTGCTGCGCCTGCAGCGCGGCCGCCTGCTGGCGCTGGGCGAGGGCGGCGCTGACGTGGGCTCCCACCGCCAGCACCAGCGCCGCCGTCTCCAGCGCCTGCAGCACCTGGGGCGCCACGGGATCGGCGGGTGCCGGAGCGGGGGCCCGTTGAGCTCGCACAGGCGCCCTGGGGGCTCGTATCCTGAGTGGCAGTCGGCGGGGGGGGGGCGCAAGCCCTCCCGGGGCCTGCCGGGCCGCGATCATAGCCAGCCGGCACACCGAACGGAACGAGGGCCG